GGTCTCTTTATCTATTAACTGGAAGAGAGAAGAGATGCCTGTTTCAATGAACTGTACCAACTTCGCAGTGGGTAACTCTGTCGTGTGCTACCTGAAAGACTTTCATCATTGTTAATTTATACAACTAAACAGATATTAAAACATCCAGTCATTACTATTAACTGATGCAGGGTCTTAAATATAATCATTATTTGTGAATAGCCTTCAACTGATCCATAGTCCTGCAGAGTAAATAGGAGCTTTTCCATTGATCAATTCACTGTGCAGAAATTTCTAAGAATATGGCTTCCCTGCAACCAGAGACATGGATTCACACACAATACTAGTTTTACTTTAAATCCAACTTCTCAGCCTATGGAAAGTAAATAAAGTCATGGAAGGTGGGTAAATAGCTGGTCTGCTACCCTGTGGTACCCACACTATTTCCCTACTGTGCCTGGAGGCAAGGTTTATCTAAGACTACCTGCCATATGTAGTTCTCCACAACCCTGTAGCAAAGCTTGATAATCTGCATTTGCTTAAAGGAAATTTTAAATGCCTAAATATTTTTGTGATTGTTGACCTTCATAACAAAATGTGTAAGTAAGTCACTGGGAAGCAGCATTTCATCCCTGCCACAGTGGGGACAAAAGGGCAGTCATAAAGGCAAATGCCATATCCTCAGAGAACCATGTTAGCAGCAGAAGTCATGAGAGGAGCTATTAATTGGACCAAAGTACTAGATTTCATGAGATATGGTCATGCAAGCTCAGCCTCAGTCTCCAGCCAAGCATGCTCTCTAAGTCTTTTCAAAATATGATGTAAAATATCGTAACTTCTTACTCCTTCACTGAGCCCCAGCTTCCAGTTTCTAACTCTTATTCAATGTACAGCCCATGATTTATGTCTCCACTGGCAATTTAGGTCTACCACATACAAAGTACTATTCCTATTACTGCTCTTCTCCAGTGTATTTTTAAGGGTCTGAAGTACTGCCTGGATGTCAACTGTGTATAAACTGCATGAGTCATTATGAATGAGTGATGGAGAAGGAATCCTTATCTGCATGCAGGTCAATCTACAACCACTGTCAACTACCCAGAAAAAGTCAGTACACTGAAGACACAGACAACATAATTTCTATTGCTGCTTTGTATATTCAACTTTGCAATGATTTGAATGAATACTGTGCATATGAAGATGTTGACTACCAAAGACAAAACAGTGTGAAAATCACTGATTTAAATTTGAGGAGAGTGAAGGACAACACTAGATAATTTAATTCCTTTAATAATGATTTTGCATCCAAGCCTAACACTGTTTTGATGGGCCTGGGATTATACTGGTGCATCAGTGAGATCCCTCCAGTAAATGGTGCATTCCCCCAGTGGAGATGACATGACTCACCTATTCACTTCACTGCAGTCAGCAAACATGTCTTATGGTATGTGGTGTGCTGCCTCTTGATTAGCCAGAAATAGTTGGCCCAGTTTAATAGGTCAGGAATGAGACTATATCACACAGAGAGTTCTGTTTCACACTGCAGCACAGGCCATTTCCTTCTTCTCATGTCACTCAGACAATAAGAGGTTAAGACACCTGCCCCATAATGGCTTCATTAGTTGCCAGATAGGGGTCATAAGAGGTGAAGGGAGATAGCCCCCAAAAGTCTAGGATACAGAGGATCTGTGATAGTGGACTGGAAGAATGGGGTTAGGATCAGTGCTTCCTTAATTACCTTTCTTGTACCAAGCATTGCCTTGGACATTTTAGCTGAACTGGGTTATAAAGAACTTTTTTTGGATTTGCTTGTGCAACAGTACTAAGATGCAAAAGGAAAGTGATTTAATTATCCTACGAAGAAATCAAAATACCACTTTTATTGCTCAGTACAAGTTATCTCTGGAATTATTTCTGCACCCTTCTTTAAGATACTCTTTCTGGTATTTGGGAATTGGCCAAAAAACAGCGTATATTGAGGGAAAAGTAATCCTACAAAACTATCCCTTGCACAAAAGGGTGCAATACGTTTGAGAAGCATTTTCCCTGCATGACAATTCTGAGGTAGTAGAGCAGCAGCCCTGTCTCAGCATATCTTGGCAGTGGGCAGACACAGAAAGCAAAAAAACCCCAAAACATATAACTACTTCTTCCTCCAGTGCAGTTCAGAATGGGAATCTCTCACAAGAGACTGAACTGGCACAGCTTGTCTATGAAGGTTAAGTGGAATGAAAAAAGATAATATAATCAGGGAACAGAAATCTCTGTAATATTGTTTTGTGAAAAGTGAGGGTTTTACCCAGTAATCTGTGTTCTCTAAGATTACCACAAAAGACAGTTAAAATCTACCTACTTAGCTTTAAGACGCAGTCTAAGGTTCAAAGAGGCTCTAGTTTTACTTTCTACATATGACAATCCACAGACTTCAGCTACTGCTTCCATAAAGCCTGACAACCAAAATGAATACAGCATACAGCACTGTAGACAGGAACTGTTCTTAACTTCAAGGTGGTAAGAGCTGGAAAATCCACTGTGCCTGCTCATACTCTGGGTTTTCAGATAATTGTGCTGTTTCCAGGGTATGTCTCTCCACGTGGTTTACAAAAGGGGCTGTCCTTGGCACAAATCCACGTGGCCACAGTTCTACAGCTTTCACTGGGACTGACCACAGTCCTGACTACTTTGCTGAGCTGAGGGTGATTTCTGCAAGTACTTAGTTCTTTCCCTTAGTAATTCTTCTGTACTGCCTGGTTCTGTTTTGTAGGACAATAAAAATCTGTCCCTTTTAGATCCTTCCACAGAACCTCCACCCCAGTGGGCTGAGCAGTGTGTTATTACATGCAATAGCATGCCTGCTCACTCTATTTTAATGATGCAAGAAAAGTACCACATATCCTGTGAGTAAATCTGTCTTTCAAATCAAGTCATCAATTCAGTGGAAAGGTCTGGGCTAGAAATGGAAGTTTACAAATCACCTTAGCTGTGATTTTAGCTGTGAGGCACAATAACCCGAATGTTACAAGCAGCTCAGTGAGAAAAAAGGTCTTGGAATGATGCTCAAGTTTGTCTCAAATAACTTCATGCTGCCAAAGAAAGTTTGCACTAGATGGATTTATAAAAGCAGTATAAGGAAAGCTTATAAATCATCTGTACATGACCCTGCAGGTTAACAAAGGAAAAGTGAATTCTGTTTGCACACATAAATAAGCATTTTTCCAAATCCATCCCTGCAATCCCCAAACCTCTGTACAAACACAGAATAATGGTTCAATTATGAACTATGCTACAAACTACAAATACATGACTACCTCTCCCCTTATGGTGGTTTTAAAAATAAACCCACAGAGTATGGAATTGAAGATGTTAATATGGGGAAAGGAAAAGCCTGGCACCAAATTTATCTTCCCTTCAATGCATGATAACTTCCCTACCTACATCTGTAAAAGTTTTGATCAACCTAGTTCCAGCCCCAGGCAAGTAGAGTAGGCCTCTTCTTCTGCATATTCCTCAGTCCAGTCGATTTTACTTTATGACAAGCTCCTAACATTCAGCCTAAATGATGATTGTCAAAAGAGTTTTCTTATGTTCTTAGCACCAGTTTATTCAGTTTGCCTCATCCTTGGAAATTACTCTCTTAAAACACTTGCAAATGGTTAACCTGATTTTCTTTACCCATGATAGCAATTCCTCAGTGAAAATGCTGTTTACGTAATTTTTCTACTATATCCACTCTCCTAAAAGCTTTTTTTTTTTTGGTTGCTTTGCTGAAAATTCCTTTCATTTCACTGCCTATACTGAGCTGTCCTGGATTTCTGGCCTAGTTCCACTCCAGTTGTGTAAGGTACAGGAACTGTTATTGCTGAGGTCTCTTTTTTTTGTGAGCACACAATACAGGACAAAAGCCAAAGGACTAATGCTCCCTAGGTTCTGACTATTTAATGTATTCCACTATTTCTCAGTGTAGCCTCCAAGAGCTAATTTCATTTGGAAGAAAAGGGTCCTGAACAGTTTTTCCTCAGCCTTCAATTCACACACCTGATGCAGATTTTGAGCAGGATGCCCATTTAGAAGAGGAATGAAGGTTGCTGTTCCAAACCTCTACACAAAACTGCCCATAAAAAGGTGTATTCTTGGTAGCTGCTTGTACTAATAAATACTTTTACTCAGTAAACTAATTTTTTAGTTGGTAGAGGACAGTCTTTTAATATGAACCTCATAAGTCACTCATCCTCCTCTAGCCTAGAAAAGAACAAGTTTTGAATTCAGAAGGGAAAGCAGATATGACATATTACCAAATCTTCCTTCTTGTTTACAGCCACTAAAGATTATTTAGTCATCTCCTAAAAATCAAAACAGATCCTTTAGTGGCTTCTGGGGTTCATCAAGAACTATCCCCAGAACAAGAAGTTATATGTAGACCATCAATTACATTTACAGCCATATAATGAACAATAGCAAGCCTAGGTGGCTTTAATGGAGTTATTTATGATATTGCTCTATGCTCAGCAATGGTAGCAGAATTATTTATGTAGTTGAGCAATGGAATTTCTCCTTCTACTCATGCCCTACATGTGCTTCACTGGAATACATCTCTAGCATTTTTTTGCAGATCTGAGTATTTCACAAGGTTTAACAAAAGACCAACGGTAAGTCAGCGCTGATGTTACCGATTGAGCAGTCGTGGCCAGTCCAGTTGGGATCGCAGCTGCAGAGTCCAGTATCTGGGAGGAAGGTCCCATGACCAGAGCACTGATCCAGACAAGTGGCTCTTGGGGTCTCACAGTTTGTTCCTCCCCAGCCAACTGAACAGTGACATTCTCCTCGGACGCACACGCCTCGTCCCGAGCAGGTGGGATCCATGCAGTCCACTACATGTGAGAAGGAAGAGGAAGCAGATAAGGAAAGCAAATGGGAATTTCAGGGAAAAAGCCATCAGACTGCTGTCTACACAAACATGTTTACACAGTATCTCAAGGTTTCAACCAAAAAAGCCCTGCTGTGAGCAAAACAGATGCTTTATCCAAGAAGTCAGTGGCCCTAAAAGGCAGTGAGACCTAAAACACCTACGTGAAAAACAGAGAAAAATCTAGTGCTGAAATCCATTCTTTTATGCAGGTCTGCACTGGTAAGTGATCTTTCTGGGAAGAACAGGCTAATATCAATTAAGAATAGAATAAGAATAATATTCCACCGTACACAGTGTGTCTTCATTTATTCCATTAGAATAACCTAAATTACTATTACTAATGAATTTGAAGCTGAGCCCTAGTTTTCTGAGAGAGAATTTTGCATAAAGATTCAGCAGAAGCTGACATTCTTATTCAGCAAAATACATGCTTAAATTGAAGAATCTGCTTAAATCTATACAGGTTTCACGGAGACTTAATGAAATTTCACATTGAAATATACCCATAGACTTTTTTTCTGGAATAAGGATTAAAACAGAAATCATGCCTTTTTTTTTATAATGGTGCTCTTCTGGTTTTATTTTTGATAAATTAATACTCTTTTTAAAATGTTTGAGGCTTATTTCCCCCTCCCAAAGAGGCACTTTCCTAACAAGATCAGAGACCACTTAGGGGTATAGCAACGTATGCCAAAAGACCAAATGTACTCCCTCCCTGATTCCTGAGTTATGTGTTTTGTAGGCAACTGTCAGCTGCTCTGCCCACAGCGGAATTTCACCCAGCAATCGAAAAATATGAAATGCACCAGACACCCTCCCAGAAAAACTGACTGGAGGAGTCGATTGTCTATTTATAGATAAAAGCTGATAGGACAGCCTAGAGAAATTCTTCCCATCTTTTGAAACGGTGTGTGGCAGTTCCCTGGGGATTGGTGACAAGTGTCAGTCTGGCTAAGCAGCACAGGAAAACTGTCCAGCTTCTGATACACAGAGCAGAACATGGCCACCGCACACACGGCAGGTTTGTGGTTCAGTTTTATCCCTGGAAAAGCTAATAAGAATTCCACTGACCTGTTTAAGATCCAGAAACCTTAAAAGGAAACACAACAGCTGCTCTGATAATTCCCTGGATTCTCAAACCCTTCTCAGTCTGACAAGTAATGGCTCAGTTATTACTATCCCAAGGCATGAGAGAGAATTTTCTTTTTTGTTTGATTCCTGGAGCTCTGCTCATAGCTGGAACAATCCTCAAAAATTTTAAGAGGCTGGAAAGGATGAGTTCATAAATCTCCTTCACTGTTAAGCAAGCTGGGAGCAAGGGTGCCAATTTTAGCATGAGACCCTTGAAGCCCTGGCCCTGTTCTTTCTCAGCAGTAATAAGTATGAAAAGGACTAAGGGATGGAGTAGCAGCCTTGTCCGTTCTCAGCAGATGGTTTGAACACAGAGAACAAAGATCACACGCTAACTGACAAGAGGCTACCTCCATGCAATTAATCATCTCCTCTGAAGGTCAATTGGGAAAAAGGTGAGTTTTACAGGGGCCTCCATCACAGGAGGCAGACAATCTGCTATCTCAGCTCTAACACAGACGATTATAGGAGGGGAATGTGCATGTCAGAACCCCCCATTTATCATAATCCCGAGGCCATTTTTCATGTTGAAATGAGCCCTTTCAGAAAATGTCACACACAATGGCTACTTTAAGCTCAGCCTCACTAGCTCTATCTCTTTAGGCTTTCTGCACCATTGGAAGGGCCCTGGGACAGGATTACAGGCTTCTGCTTTCTTCTTAATCAATTGCTTAGTGGATTTGGAATACAATGGTATATTTTTAGGGAGTTCTGCTTGACAAATTTAGCTGCTCAGCTCTGGGATAAGTAGAGATGGGGAGCTGGGCATGAGGGCAGAGCTGACAAGATCTAGTATACCTGGAAAGGACAAAAAAAGCGTATGTCTGTGTTGTTGGTTGGAAAATGTCCCAAATGGTCAAATTCTTGGTTAGAAAATGCCCTGTTTATAGTTTAGCCTTGTGAGAAATCTTTGCCAGGGAGATAAATCATGCAGCAAGCAAGGTTAGTGCCTCTTCTACACTTTTCCCCAATATGCTTCATGCTTCATTGGTCACACAAGTTATTAGGCTTATTCGGTGCCCAAAGAGTAACTTCTCATATTTCACTGCTTAAATTTGCTCCCCTCCCTGTAATGTCTCACTGGCTTAGGCCATGCCCTATAAAATATGGGCCAATAAACTAAGGAAGGAGAAAAGAAAAACTCGTGTAGGATTGTTGGCCGATGTTTTATAAACATTGCTGAACTTCTACAGGGGAAAAAGAAAAGACAGAAGAAACCCTGGAATGAAAACCCATTATAAACATGGACCAAGCAGTGAAGCTACGAGAACTGAGAAATAATAAAAAGTAATCAATACCAGATGGCCTTTCTTAGAAGAGAAATTAAAGAGTGAAAGCAATTTAAAAATAGTATAAATCAACCTTTTTTTACTAAATCTAAGTATGTACATATATATATAATACAAATTATGCCTTGAATATCAAAAACAAGCATGCTTGGAAAAATACTGAACAGCCCATAAGAAAACCATGTTCTCTTTGTTCTTCCTCCCTTTTCAAGTTTTGACCTAGTGGGACTGACACTGTCCCCTGCTACAGTGATAACATAAAATAACCGAGCAGTGCCTGGCTTTTCTGCTTTAAACGTGACCAGGGAAATAAAGGTTCCTGACAGAAAAAGGGCAAATCTCACTCTGATTTACACACATTAAACACTTCTGGCTGGAGGCAAAATCAGGATATTTTCATTTCTGTTTATCCAGAAAAGATATGATCTAGTAAATAGGAGGTCTACAGAGATGCTTTAAAGATACTTCAGTAGTCACAATCTTGGGGTTCTGCATGCCCCATAGCTTCACTGAATTGTGCTTTAAGCCAAAATGAGGCTTTCTCAAGAGATGGCTTATTGTTGTAAGAGCTGATAGTGTTTGTCTCTAACATTTACTGACACTGAAGCCATGCTACATCAGAGACGTCCCACTCCAATACATTTAACACATCAAAAGAATTGCTAGATTAGATGCCATTTGAATATCTGAATCCAGTTCAGTCTATTTTCATTGCCTATAAAATAAAGCCATTTCAGATAAATCTTTATTCTGCATACATGAAGACAACCATAAATTAATTCAAGTCATTGTCATTCTTAAAAGTCTCAAATGACATCTTTAATCTATCAAGTGGTGAAGAGGCCTTACATATGTACTTGTAGAAGCGCAATTTAAGAATAATTATTTATCAGGTCACCAGCATAGAATTAGGAGACTAGTTTTCAAAAGTTTTGAACATTATTCTTTAAATAATGCACTTTTGGATATATTTTTATACTCTCTTAATGATTTGTATGCTTGCCAAACTGTTCACTTTTTCATTTAGCAGTAAGAGGCAGTCACAGACTCAGGAAGATAAAGGTTTATGTTGGCAGGTGAGTTCCTACACAAAAAGATTAAAGATAAGTACTAAAAGCAGCTGTAAATCTAAATGTAAATATGAAATGTTTGGGGGCTAATGTGAGCAAAAAGCTATGGAAGAGCCATTAAAATAATATCTGACTTTGAAGCAGAATTTAATTCAAGTCCTAAGCATTTCTAAGCTTTTAAAGCTGACAAGGATCAGGGACTTTCTCTCACACGCCACCATTTTGTGTATGTAAGCAACTGAAATTGCTTGGCATAGTGCAGCAGAGAAGAAAGCACTGTATAAGTAATTATACGTTTAGATGTGTAAATGGAAATGATGCTTTAATAAGAGCATTTGAACATATGATTAGATGTTCTGGTCTTTCAACTAGATTCTTCTATCTGAAGAATTTGATGGCTTTTCATCCAATTATTGAACAAGTATGATAGCTAACAAGGAGTTATGACAACATATCATTTTTATGCTGTATCCATCTATTGTATCTCTAAGGTGCCTATTACTGTTCTGTTTAAGTGCCAGTCCGATTCTGAGTTGCCTCGATCCATATAATTACAGAACAACAATCAAAGCAAAAGGCTAATTCAATGCATCTTGCACATACCTTCTTCACAGCTCTCGCCTTTGTATCCCGGGTTGCAGATACAGGTGCCCATGATGCACGTGCCATGGTTATTGCAGGAGACATCAATGCACTGGTTGGTTGGGACATCACACTCTGCTCCCTTCCAGCCACTGTGGCACAAGCACCTTCCTTTCATGTACTGCCCATTTCCACTGCACAGCACTGGGCAGGACGCTATGGACAAACAAAAAATCACATTAAAACAAATGGAAAATCACTTCAAAAAGGAGTACAAGAGCCCAGCCTGTGATTTACATTCTTTATACACAGTCTTCACCAGGGTAGGTTGCTGTTTGTTTTGCCAAAACCAAATTTTTTATATGCATGATACCCAGCTTGTTAACTGTATTCTCCTATGACTGTTTAAAACAAACAAAGAGTGCCCTTAAGTTAGACTATATTCTTACTTGGTGTCTCTGATACCTTTTTTCACTAACTAAACTCATAGTTTTCTTGTATTCTGATTTTACAATGTACTGATGTCTTCTTTCCACAGCATCACTGACCTTAGATTGCTTATCACTATCCCTGACCCGCTGCCAGATTTTCCTTGACACTGCCTCTGAGGACCTCAGTGGCACAGAAAATACTTCCCTGTTTTTTTCTGGGTTAACTCTCAGCTTTATGGGTTTTAGTTGCCTTGCTCAGAGCCCAGAATGCCACACTGAGACTATTTCCTGGATTTTGCTCATGTCATATCATCAGCTATCAACTTTCTTCTCTGAAAGGGTTGCCTACACTGGAGCAGGCTGCACAGGGAAGTGACTCAGTCATTCCTGGTGGAATTTAAAAGATGTGTGGATGTAGCATATTGGGGATATGGCTTAGTGGTGGGTTAATAGCTGACCTTGATGGAAAGAGTTTTAGAGGTCTTTTCCAACCTTAACAATTCTATGGTTCTAACCGAATGTCCAGCCCCCATTTTTGGTTATCACCTCTGCTGGACTCAATTCATCACCAGCCACAAGGTAAAATTGGCCTCTACTGTTTCCAAGCTCCCTGTAATAAAAGCTGTGTAAATCTCTGAAATCTGTACAATTTATAAAGGATTTATAAAGGATTTTTAATCGTCCTTGTTCCCAGCAAAGTCAGTTGACTCTTAAGACCACCCAGATCCAGGGCTTCCTCCCTGTGATAAAGGGAAGAAGAGGAAGATGACAAGCTGAAGCTGTGGCATGATAGATCCCAGGATTAAGCGTTTTCAGAGCTGAATTTGGAAACAGGCAGAGTTGGATGGGATGAACTGAAGGATACAGAACAGGTTCCACAAGGAAGCAGAGGGCATCAAGGACCAGACATCAGTCTCTATGACCACAGCTTTTTGTAATCACTGTTCTCCAAGCTTTCTCCAGCTCCTTTCAGATGACGCCTTCTCCTTATTCTGTTCTCCACACCAGCCACACTATGTTCCTTTTGTCCTCTGTTCTGATTTTACCAAGGAAGATGCTGATTTCAGTCCCTCAGAAATAACAGCCTTTTCCTGTTCACTCTACCTTGAAACTTCTTGCTTAAGTTCTGTTCTCTTTCATTTCATTTTGCTGAAACTCAACTGCAAGGACATATATTCACAGATTTCACATAATTCAACACAGACTGCTTTTGTTCACTGTTGCACATCAGCTGTAGGTGAGAGCAGCTGGCCTTCTCATCTGCCCCTCGGAAAGGCAATTTATGAACAATTTTATGCAGGACAAATGTGAAATGAATATTTCATTCCTGCTGCTTAATTCAATTGCGTTAGGCATGCGATGAACCCTCTTTTGCTTCGTTCCTGACTTTGATTATGTGTGGGGAGGGGTATTACATGGTTAAGGAAAGCTGTCCTCTCCTTCTCTTCCCAACTTTTCAGACAGTAACCTCAGAAAGTGCATTATGACTTGTCTCCACGTGTCCTTATAGTGAAGTCAGTTTGAGTGTTCCAGAACTACAGCAGCCTCAAAAAAATACAATGCATTGCCCACTCTGAATGTTAAATCAGTTTGATATGAGGTGAACTATATATTTGCCTGACCAAGATAAAAGAGGTTCAGGAAAGAAAGGAATTTGGCAATTGTTATTACTAAGGAGCACTCTGCTCACTTTAAAGAAAACACATTGCAGTGGTGCATTCCAAGTGCATTGTTTGCAAGATGGTATCTACCTATACAATATGAGGCTTAAATTGTTTAAGATACACCCTGTTGTGTGCATGGTTCACAGCACACTCACTCTGTAATTTTACTTTTCAGTGAAGGGATGGAATTTTTTGCCCCTCCCATATCAAATTTCAGTGCTCAGTAATGGACGTTGTTTTTTCAGGGCACTGGCAGGGGACAGTCTGCAGTTCTTTTCAACAAGAAGAAAGAATAACTGCCTTTAACCACGGAGAGGTTGCTGAGAAAGACTTACATGTTTCCTGACAAGACAGCTGATCACTCAGTAAAAGATCAGATAAATTACTGGCCATCTGCAGTGAGACTGACACTCCACAGAGCCTTCTGTGGAGATCACATTCAGCATCACCTAGAAAGCACTGCTACAGATGTCAAGGCAATGGTGAGAACAAGGCCTCCTGAGTAGCATGCAATAATAATAAAGACAAAAGAGGTTTCTGAATTTTTTCTCCTGTTACTTATGCAATACTCTTTTCCATATATAAAGATATATAATTATTATTTTATCATTCAGATTCCAACAATGTCTATGATGGCAAAATTATAGTAATTCTCTAGTGTGGTAATGATAACAGCAACCCAAATGCAAAGCTGAGCATCAGAGAGTAAGATCATTTGTTTGTTTGTTTACTTTATACAGAACTTGAAAACACCACCTCCTGTGTCCAAGAAAACCTTCAAAAAGCCTATGGAACACACCTCTGGTGACTTGCTCTCACTTATTTTGTTGAAAAACATTGGTTAATAATACATTAATAATTAACCATTACTAAAAAGAGAAATGCTTTCTGTTCCAGAGTTTCCCATTCTTTTGGATGGTGAACTACAAAGCTGAATTAAAATAAAGGAACATCCAGGAAATCCATGGAATTCTTCATGTGAGCAGGAACCTGCTTATTTAAGGATTGCTGCTCCGTACAGGGATTGTGAAGGGCTGCAGATGGATACCCTAACAGCCTCAACACATGCTGCCTTTTGAGGGATTTGTGGGTCAAAAGAAGAATCTTTGATGCCCCTGAAAACCAACAGGAAGCCAATGCTGGAATCCTTGGATGTCATGCTCATGGTAACATGATCTATTTTACATGCTAAGTGAGTGGACATGCATACATAAATATATATTTAGCATTCCAGTTATTTTTCTGTCTTCCTAAAGGGCGAGTGCAACCTGTGATATGAACTTAGATGATTCTGAATGAAAAGACAGAGTTGAATAAAAGGTGTTCACAGCAGCTAGAGCATGTGCTCTGGTGAAATGGGAGACTCACATGGCTCCATTGCAAAGCCTGAGAAAGTTCAGGATATAGCCCCGGAGGGGAGGTGAGCTCCTCTGAAAATGGATTCAGAACAAGAGTTTAAGTACTCTGACTCACAGTGAAGAAAGTTGTTCTTCTCCACAGACTGTAAAGGGAGCCTTGGGGGAAACAAGCCCTGAACTTCTGCCCCTACTGAAAGTTAGGAGGTGTGAGCTGGAATATGCTATGGGACATGGAAAAAAACTCCTTTTGTCTCCAGCTCTAGGGATTTGAAAAGGAGCTTGGAAATGCAAACCAAGTGTAAGGAAATGCAAACCAAGTGTAACCTGAGTCAGCAAGAAGTTTGACATAACAGCTCTCAGGGACACAGCTTGCCACATCCATCTTACTGGGCTGTGAACTCTGAAACCCCGCCGGGTTCAGCCCGGCCTCGCTGCCTTGGCAGGGAGCTCCCGCCTGCCCTGGGGGTGCACGGCTCCTTATCTCTGTCTCCTGGCTCGCTGCTGGGATGTGACCCAGCTCAGCTGGAGGGGGAGAGGACCGGGGTTGGACAGAGTTTAGCTCTCTCTTGGGAAGGCGCCAGCCTGCTTTCCAAAGCAGCGATGAGCTGGGGTAAAGCCTGACCTGCAGCCTCACCGCAGCTCCTTGGGTGGGCACTAACGCTCTGTGCTACCTCCCTCCCCAGATTTATAAGTCTGTTCTTAGTTTGTTGGACTGTTTGAGCCAAAAAAGGCCTTGAAAAGGTTGATGCACAGTATCCTGTCATTTCCCACATGCAAGGTTTTGATATCTTGATTTGAAATGTGTTCTTACTAAAAGTATTTCAGTTTGTTTTTTAAATGTTTAAATAACCTAAAACATTCAGGCCAAAGAAAACCCTTCCAAACCCATTTATTAAAAATACTTATCACTTGAGCAGAAAAATGTATTATACTGTTTACTGGGATAAGTCTCCTTCCCAGTCCTCACAGTGTTTTCACTTTTGGCCAGAGTAACCAGTTGCTCCTGCCATTATTCCACTCCCAGACTTTAACACTGCCCTATTCCCCACAGCCAGGCTCAGGCAGACTTGCAAGGTACTTTTTGTACAATCAGTATCTTAACAGAAAGTATCATTATTGTAGTGTCATGCCACACCATGATAAAAGTGCTCTGTTAAACAAACCATAATGCCACATTTATAAATCATGTTTTCCAAAGTCACTTCCAGAGAGAAAATTTCCAGTGTGACATTTTCCTGTCCACAAGCAGACCAAGGGGCTGTGTTGCTCCTAAGGGCACAGCAGTCACGATTAGTATACAATCATTAAGGGTGGAAATGCCCTCCAAGATCAAGTCCAACTCTTGGCCCAGCACTGCCAGCCCACCACTAAACCATGTCCCTAAATGCCACAACTACACTCCCAGAGATGGTGATTCCACCACTTCCCTGAGCAGCCTGAATTCTTTGCTGAAGAAATTTTTCCCAATAGCCAATCTAAACCTCCCCTGGCACAACTGGAGGATGTTTCCTCTTGTACTATCACTTACTTGGGATAAGAGACCGATCCCCACCTGGTTGCATCCTTCTTTCAGGCAGTTGTAGAGCCCAGACTGTTCCTTCTTTTCTCCAGTGTAAATACCCACAGATCCCTCAGCTGCTGAGCAGAATTTTAGCGTATTTGCGGCAAACAAAATTCACAGATCAACTTGCTTCCACTCTACTGCAGCAACCCCACACTAGGTGACTAGTACTTTGCAAAAGGCACCATCATGAATATAATTTCCAGAAGAAAATATTAACTGAATGGGAGAGGGTAGCAGTTAATCAAGCATAAAATTCCTACCTCTGCCACAGTCAGGGCCCAGAAAGCCAAGGAAGCAATGGCAAGTCCCAGACACGCAGTCTCCATTCCCATAGCAATTACTGGGACAGTTATCCACTGATTCTGGAAAACAAAAGAGAATTCAGACACTTCTTTAGGCAAGAAAACATCTCTGAGTTTAGGAGGGCTTTGGATGGGCAGGACTGTTGAAACTTCAAAGCAACTGCCACACTTGGGGAGAAAGCATTAGTGTGAGCTGCACTAAACCCTGCTCATCCATTTACACCAATGGATGATTCAACTGCAAATCCTGTGATTAAATACGAGCTGCTCAGCACCTATCAGGTCTGGCATTCTCTCAGAACCTGAAAACTTCCAAATGTCTTTTCTTCCTGTATATTTTTATGACCATTTTTCCTCTTTCAATTTATTCCAGGGATGCAATACACACAATTCTCATGGCAGAATATGCACTTTTGGTCCAGTTTTATTGACTTGATTAGGTGACCTTGAGGCTTCTATTTGTGCCAAGAAGAGCTGAGTGATGATAGATATGTTCCCCTTTGAACTTACTGAACACAGACCCTTGGTTCATCCTACCTGCCTGTTCAAGAAATACTTCTAACCAAATTTTTTATTTGCTCTGCAATATTATATTGAATATAATACATTATACATTATAAAATATATAATTTATATCTTTAACAGCTCAAAATGCTGGGGCTAATTTCTATTTGGTGGAATGGAAATGGGTCTGTTCCACATTTTCTTCTGTTTCTAGTTATCATCTTAAATTCCCTGACTTTGGCAAAAACATCAGCTATTAATTTTTCAGGGGAAGTTAACAGGTAAGCAAAATGTTATTTAGCACTTCTCCTTTGAGGAGAATTCAGAATATTGGGGCTGAAACATATCTTTCATGAAAGAACAACACAAGCTGGTAAACACATCAAAAAGAGAATGAAAATAATCTTATTTTCTTACACTGAACTGTGAGTGAAAACTGAGTAAATGTGAGTGGGGCTTTTAAAGGCATTGTAATAAATACCATGGTTCATTCTACAGTGCTATTTCACATTTTCTCTGAGGGAGATGCCTATCAGATGAGAATTGGATTTGGTTATACAGCAGGGGCACTAGAGGCACACAGAGTGGGGTGAAAATCTCAGCCCTGTGAATAATGACCGCATTTGCACAGATGAATTTCACGAGACCTTGTGGGAGCAAAGTTATTTGTAAACTCCCAATCAGTGCAAGCGAAGAGAACCAGCGGCAGCAGAGATGTACAGATTAGTTTCTAATCACAAATGAAAGGAAGCTGGTTTCTGGATGGGTGTTTGCCAAAGAGCAGAGGTTTCTGAAGGACATTTTAAAGGCTGTGGTGTAATTTAATAATTCATAAAGGACAACAGCAATTTTACATAATAAAACCAGTTTAAAGCATTTATGTTTTAAGTCCTGGCTTCACACGTCTCATAAGCAGACATCTCCATACAGCAAGAAAGGTACAATGAAGTGCTGTCAGTTTTCTAACACTCAATAGTTAAATAGGTATTCACTTGATGGTGTATGGAAACAGTCACAACATGCAGACAACCCTTTAGGCTTGAGCTGTCATCTTTGTTCTAATCAAAGTGCAGCCATGGTTCCTAGAATAAAGAAATAATGACTCAGGCCTTGTGCATTTATATTGATATTTAGGAATACCATCTCTCACTTCATAGGAGGTATAAACACAAGTCTATCCTGTAAATGAAAAGTTAAGATTAGCCCATGTGTATACAAATCCTCAGAACTTTGAAATGAGTTAATGTCACTGCTGAAAACCAAAATGAATTCACTTTTTGCCTTTTTTCCTCTATGCTTTTTTACAATACTTGTATTTTTTTTCTCTTCGAGAAATATATGCAGAATAGGAAAAATAAGTTAATTATGTAAGTACTTACACACCTGAAGAACATACAGAGTGTGAGTTTTGTGAAAAAAGATAATGAGACAGGCAAGGAGATTTAACTGCTCCTGTCACTGAAAGGGTCAGTCTCTTTCCTCTAATCTTCTCATCCTAAGAACAACTCTAAGATCCCTCTTCTTGTGCTGGTTCTGGCACTTGTCAGACCCTCCAATGAGGTGGTTAGGCTCAAAAGGTGGCAAAAAAAAAAGGCAGAATGCAGCAGAAAAAAACCTAGAGGTTTGGTTTTTTTTTCCCCTGCTGCCTGAAAACTGGGAAGAGAAGGGCCGTGCTATTCAGCATTAGTGCAGTTGTCCCGTGACACCTCACCACCCCCCTGCCACACTGGGTCAGGGGCTGCAAGGTGGAGCAACACTGCATAGATGCAACAGGTGTGACCTTTGAAGTCCAGGGGAATACCTCAGGGCTTGATGCAGGACAGACTCCCAGCATTAACACCACCTTTAGAATATTAAAAACTATTTTTAAAAGCTTTTTCCCAAGTTTTTGCTTTAATTGACTAAACAGAGATCTTGAAGAGGAGTAAATATCCATATAGCTTTCTTGGTATATTTTGGCAATATAATATTTAAGCAAAATAATAAAAAGACCCACAGAAACATTTAGAAAGTATCTAAAAAGTAGCAAAACATCAAGCACAGCAACTGTTCCAAACTGTGACAATGCACCACATCAGCTAAATGGTAATCTTTGCTACTGGAAACAATATTTTGTAGTTACAGTGGGTTCAGCTGGCCTGTCTGTGACGCCTAGGACAAGACAGGCAAGACTCTGCACACCAATTTGATGTCCACTGAAGATTAAACTGAATTACTTTGTCCACTACAATGACTATGCATAAAGAGATTTAGAAGTTCAGAGTGACCACAGAAATGGAGCAGAGCTGTGCTTAGGTAACCAACCTTTCAAGAATCTCTGGGTGAGTCCATGTAAGAACCTTTAGTCTGGTAGTGCATCCTTTTCTCCTCTGACTAGTTCAGCATAGACACCTATAACTGGTCAGACCCCTGCTGACAGTGACTGACACATTAAAAAAATATTCACATCTATTTTCTGGTTCATATGCAGATCTGGCATTTCTCCTTGTAAAGCTGCAGTGATATGCACACATATCACTACCTCCTCAATCTTTGGTTTCCCAGACACTTCTTTGCAAGTGTGGCTAAACTGCCTCATGCTATATAGTGGCTGCCTCAAAAGGAATTAAAAAACAGGTGGATGAAACCCATTTTACCTTCCTCACTGAAGCACCTCAGTAGCTCTTACCTGTGGCCTGAATACCCTATACTATTAATAATAGAATAGGCCCCTAAAAAGTTTTTCATCCCATTTCACTGCTTCCTCTGATGTCCCTTGCTTTTCGAATATAGCCAAGAGTAACATTTTAAATGTATTCTCATTTTACACAACCTCTATTTGCCCTGGAATAACCTGCCTGATAGAGATGAGATGAAGTGAAAAGGAACTCTACTCCCTCTGTGACTTGTGCCACTTGCTTTTTTTTAGCAGTTAAGGACGCAAACTTTCCTGGTGATTCAGGGCAATTAAGGTCTTCACAGACTCCCAAAAGTTCTTCCACTACTGAGAATCTATTCTGAAAAGTGATGCAGTTTCATGCAGTGCATCTTTGTCTCAAAGCTATTCCCAAACAACTCCAAAGTACTTCCATAAAGGAAGTGTTAAATAAACACACATTTTTTCCTCAGAAACTCCAGAGCTAATGAGCGCAAACAAGGCTGAGACTGAGGCTTGTGAGCAGTAAGTCTGCAAGCTGTGTGTGCAACACTATGCATGCTCCTATTTATATTCTTAGGCAGAATTATAACGTGGAATTTCTTTTTACTTTGAATATTGCAGGCATTAGTAAGTTATACTCACTCAGGGCTTTTCATACAAACCTCTGTTTTCAACGTAGGACTGAATTTTGTTTCAGCGGTTATAGACTGCTTTTTGTGCACCTCAGACAATTTTCTAGCCCTTTGGCATATCTAAGTGCACACACATTCATGCACACTGCTCTAACACCTACATTTCAAGATAAACAGGAGGAGGCGGGTGACTTGGCATCAGAAATTAGGGAGTCGTGATGGGAGAACCCTGGAAAGAATGAAGAATCAAACAGACATTTTCAGAAGCTAGGGCTTAGCCAAATTATTATCATTTGGGATAGAAGGGACACAACTTAACATTCAGGGAGTCCCTAAGTCACTGGCACAAGGCAGCTGTCTTTCTTTTGAGTATGTTCACAGTCAACATTGCTACAGATGTGACACACTATCAGTAAATAAGTAAAAAAACGCCACTGCAGTTATGGCTGGCTTCTAGTCTCCATTACACAGCTTATTCTGTAAGCTGTTCACATAATTAGAGGAGTATTTTCCAATATATACAAAATTCCATATGGTGTTTTATGAATAGTACCATGGGAACTCCTTTAGAGAATCACGACAATGTTTTTGTTTTGTTTTATTTAATTGTTAAAGTTCACTGTGAGACCATGAACAATTCTTTTTTAGAAAGAGATACATATGTTCTCTGTTTCCAGTCTGATTCCCACAGTTTTCTCTTGGCTTCCAAATCCCTGAAGAGATCTGACTGACACCAGCCGGTAAGGGCAGAGATTAATAACTGGAGGGCCAGCCAATGGATGATGGATGATGCCTTCATCAAGTTTTGCTATTGTGTCCAAAGAGAACACTGAAAACACAGTGTGGCAATAGGAGTGAAACGTCCGAAAGCAAACAACTCACACCGGCAAAACTTGAGGTGGTGGGGCTTCTGATAGGGAATGCAGAAGCTTGCCTATGGAATTAAATGTTCTGCCAGCTTCACAGTCTAACGAGCAGCTGAAAAAAACAAGTCATTTTATGGAATCACAGAATTACTGGATGGTTTTGATTGGAAGGGACCTTAAAGACCATCTGGTTCCAATATCCCTGCCATGAGCAGAGGCACCTTCCACTTGACCAAACTGCTCCACAGCCCATCCAACCTGGCATTGAACACCTCCAGGGATGCATCAGCCACAGCTTCTCTGGGCAGCCTGTGCCAGTGCCTCATCACACAGTGTGGAATTTCTTCCTAATATCTAATCTAAACCTTTAAACCCACTTGTCAGTTTAAAGCCATTCCTCCTTGTGCTATCCCTCCATGC